GAGTAGTGAGGCTGGGGGTAGGGAGGAGGGGAGGAGGGGGAGGAGAGTTGTCTGGGGGGAAATGGGACCTGGTGCGGTGGAGACACATGGTACGAATAAGACGGTAGAGAAGGGCACTAGAAACGAGAGAAAGGGGAAGAAGGTTGGCATACGTGTGATTAGGAAGAGAGATGGGGGCAACGAGCAGCAAGGAGGTGCCCTGGGCATAGAACTGAATCCCCACCTTAGCGTACGAGTAAAGAAGGAGTAAAGGTGGGGAAGAGGGAGGCAGGAGCGTGTCAGCTTGCGATATGATGATTATGAGCCGAACGCAGGAAGATCGGTTGGGCCTGGTCACGAGGTCTAGGAGCCGGGTGCAAAAGGCACCACTCCTATAAATAGCCATCCCATTGACTGCTTCTCACCCTGATGATGCTGGCAGGAAGCCGGCGAAAGCTAGGTGTTTTAACTTTATTAAAACTTTTATAGTTTTTAAGAACTTCCTGGTGGTCTCACAGTTTGTGAGACCACCAGGAAATTAAAAAACTACAAAAAGTTTATTATCATTAAAACATTAAAACACCTAGGTTTCGCCGGCCTCCTGCCGGCTTCATCAGGGTGGCTAGCCATTCGTGGGATGGCTGTTTTTATAGAAGCGGTGCCTTTTGCACCCGGCTCCTAGATCTCGTGACCGGGCCCAGGTAGTCCTCCTGCATTGGGTTCTTAATTGTCCTTTCGTGAGCTGTCACGTTCCTAGCTCTCTCCTTCCCACCCCTTTTCTTTCCCTGCCTTGTTCGTTCGTCAGGAGGGGTGGGAGGCATTCCTTCATCCAGCGCATCGCTTTGTTGTTCGTTATCCCCTTTCTTCTTCCCGGCTACCTGCGGTCCCACCTTCTTCCTCTCTTCCTTCTTCCCCATAGTGTTATCTAACTCCTTTCTCACCCGTGCCCCCACCACTCTCATTGCTCCCTCATTCTCATCCTCTGACCATCTCCTCTCTTCCTTCTTCCTCCCCTCCGCACCCCCACTCAACCTCCGCATGCGGAGGAAAGATCGAATTGGAGGGCTGAGGCCAGAAAGGGAGAGAAGAAGAGAGAATGGGAAGGGTGGTGGGAAAATGGTATGGAGATTGAGAATGGGGGGAGCGTACGACAGGAGGGTGGATATGAAAGAGGGAATACCCCCGCACCAGGGGAACAGCAGGAGAGGATTAATAAGAAGGAAAAGAAGGGGAGTGGACACGAAGAAAGGAACACCGCTGACGGGGAGGCGACGAGAACGAACGCGGGGGTGCTGCCGGTGCCCCCGATGACCCGTCACCGAGGAGGTGCGGAGAGAGGGTTGACGGCTACACACACACTTATGGAGAAAAGGTTGAGTGGGGGTGCGGAGGGGAGGAAGAAGGAAGAGAGGAGATGGTCAGAGGATGACACAGCATAACATAGGAGCTCTGAACTCAAGCTCTCAGGGCTGCTTGACGGTAGAGGGTGGCGGGCGAGGGCTTTCTAATGGAGAGTGGGAGCACACACCCCCGTGCGCTATTCACACTGATGAAAGGGAAAAGGGGATCGTGGTTACTGCTTTACAGCTGAAGTTAAATGATACGCAGGGAGGTGATGAGAGGAAGCAAATGGAGGAAATGTGTAAGCAACCCCCACAAACAGCACATGCCGACACGTTCGTGCCATTAGGATTACATAGGATTGGAGAGGGGGGTGAGGGAAAGGGCTATATAGAGGCATCCAATTGTCTTGATGAGGTTCCTAAAGATGGTCTCCCAATGATACGATGGCAAGGGAGACCTTCTGATAAACTGGAGGAAGGTGCCTCTGTGTCAGAACCCCATATGGATAGATGGGACGGTGGGAAGGAGGATTTTCAACAAGGGGAGACGATGAACTGTAAAAGACACTCCATCCGAGATGAGAGGAAACATCTAGAGAGTGATTATAAACCTAATGAGGTGAAACGTCCCCGTGGTGGTTTGACACGGAAAGGCAGCACAAATAAGGATAGAAGGATAGTTAAAGGGGTTAATGAGGTTGTTACAATGATTGGTTATCACGGCCCTGTTACGAGATCTAGGGCCCGGATGCAGGCATCAGCTTCGTGCTTCTGTGTGTAGTGTGTGTGATCGCAGCTGTTTCTTCCTTTTAACTGCCAGTGGGGTTTGAGCTGATTGGGTGGGAGCTTGGCTGTGTTCTGATTGGGTGGAGGTGTGTTCTGATTGGTTAAGGAGCTTGGCTGTGCTCTGATTGGATGGGGGGGTTGGCTGTGCTCTGATTGGATGGGGGAGTGTT